TAAAGAAGTCCAGACGCTTTTCTTTCCAAGCTCTTTAGACTACGATGACCTGGATGACTGAGAACCTTCACAGACATATCCTTGCTGTTAATCAGAGACTTTGTTGTGTACGCTCTCATAATTCCCACCATTCCCAACTGTTAGAATGGACTGAGGTTCTGTTTGACAGAAACTCCGGGTTATTTTTAGTGGCTACAAAGTATTGAGACGGTAAAAGAGCAATTCATCATTATATATATGGTTGTAACAAAGTCTCATGGCACGCTTGAACCTTAATTGTTGGACGCCAGCACCAACACTATGTTCAGTCTCATTTTGATTTTCTGTTATTCAGATATGCAGGCAGACCATTCTAACCTGCGTCCAGCTGACTGCTTACTCAAGGCCCAGCTAAAAGTCACCTACCTAAGCTAGCTAATAATGTTTGCACATGGCATGTTCCACAGCAGCAAAGCCAAGAAGTCATGCATCTGTTAAATCAACAGAACTTTAGCTGTTGTATTCAGTAACCACAGATGTAATCATCTTTGACGTAAGAAGCCATCTTTAACTGTGATTGAGATTTCTTTATGTTTTGTGTGACTGTGGTTTATTTAACCTACCTTGGGAAGTGCTTTGCTGGTACAATCACATGCCCACTTGTCCACCCAGACCTATCTCGGTCAGTAGACGGCAATCGTCCTCTTTCATTAGTTACCCGGTTTCGTGAGCTTTGCCGGAGCTGCCAGTAACCACAAGATGGATTTCCTGGTATGCCTGAATATACAAGTTGAATTGGCCTCTGATTATTCAGCACAAGTGTTTGTTTTGATTCCTTGATATTTTGTTTCATGGAAATATGTCCCAAACAACTTAATTGTGTGACAGTGTGTGCCACTAAGTAAAATTCTGTTTTCTGGGAAGATGCTGAGTCATATTTTTTTGGCATTCCCGGTGTTTCATGTTGTGCAAGGTAAAATTCACATTTGGGGAAAGATTATTTCTCCAACCATAACAGTGTTTGTTGTTTGTAACTTGTGTCTAGCCTTTTGGAGGGGACGGCTGGTGTGACACCATAAACAACAGGGCATACTGCCAGTATGATGGAGGAGACTGCTGCCCATCTACACTCTCCACCAGGAAGGTACACAAACAAACTTTTCCAGAGCCACACAAGGAGACACACATCAATTACAGTTGCTTTGATACAATCAGGTATAATTTGTTTATGCTATTTATTATTGTTATCATTATTATTATTATTTGTTGGGTCATTTTTAATAAACATAACCTTCAATCTACTGTAAAAAAAAGTGTTATTTGGCTTCCTCAGGCATTTTTCAATGAAGATGGAGCTTAGAAGCTGAAGCTCGATTCAAAGGCAGATTCTTCCTGTTTGCAGTAGTAGAAATCTGTGTCTTTTGGCATGAGCGCCGTGCAGGAGACTTCTGCTAAGCAAACAAGCACAGATCCCTGCTACTTTCCCCTTGCTCCTGTTAACGACTGCGCCTATTTAGTCTCCCTCATCTGTATTTTAAACAACGGAGGAGACTAGCGGCACAAGCTTTTCCAGTCGAATTGTAAATAAGCAGGTTTTCATCACGCCGCTACGCTGTTTTCACACCTTCGACATGAAGCGATGGACGTCGGCACAGACTCGGGCACGAAGTGCAAATCTCACTGTATTATTGAAGCTGCGCTCCAAAATAAGCTCTGAATGTAAACGTCTCTGGTTTCAGTTTTAATGTGTGATGCAGGCGTGTAACATAGATGGCATTTAAAATGAATTTTGGATCCCCAGCACGTCCCTCTATTCGAGGAACACGCTGGCCGTCTTTGTTTATTCATCCTAACATACTCTCCCTGGTGACAGCTCGCTCATGCTCGTTACGAGATGCAAACGTATCGCGTTACACTAATTGCGCTAAATGATTGCTGTATATATTAAGTGGCTAAGAGGAATGGTATGAATAATAATGAGTTAGCCCAGGTCAGCCTGTGGTGGAAACCAGGCCACATAAACACATCTTTTTCCCCCTATTTTTCTGTGCTTTCATGAGAACTTCTCTCCCCTGTTGACATTTAGGAAGTCACTTACTCCCCAGCTCTCCCACCACCGTCAAATATACTCTGTTTGGCTACTGTAAAGCCACATATTCCTGACACTCTTTGAGGGGGCCCTGCCTGTTAATTCATATGGCCTACAGTTGGCTGAACCTCCGCTGTCTCCTTTATGTCCGCAGCACGCCATGACTCACTGGCAGCTCCTTCTTAAATGGAGGAGTTCAGCGAGTCTGCAGCTGCCGTCATAATAAATGAGCTGCCAGACTGCCACTAACTGCTCTTTTACAGGGGAAGGGAGAGGTGGAGGGTATAAGTGTGGGAGCAGCGAGGTGTCTGACGGTCTGCGGTTTCCTCGGCCACTGTAAAACAGCAACTCAGCAAGCGGGGGTCGTTTCAAGGAAGTGAACTAAACAGCCATGAGAGTGTGCATCCTGACTGCCGCGGCTCCAGCAGGGTGATGGAGCGAGAGGGGGGGTAATGAAGGCTCAGCCTTTTTCCAGAACTCTGTGTTTCTATGGGGCTCGATGCATGCAGGTGTAGGCAATTACAGGTTTTTAACACAGCGTGACCCACATTGCTTATTTTCACTGCCGCCACACACAAAACGCCTGGACGCTCATGACATTTCAGTGTTATTAAT